TAAGGCATCCCCCCGAAAATAAGGCCCCATAGACTAAACATGAGAGATTTGATCCACTGATTCTGAAAGAACTGGAATCAGAAGAAATTCACCAGGAAATTCAGGAATTGGATTGTTATGATGATGTTCCAGAAGATGATGACATGATTGTCATTTTATAAATGAGTAAATTCTTGATACTGTAGATTCACAGTTTGTCTGGTTTGTGTTGACAACTACTGTACTACCGTACCGTATACCGTAAGGTAATAAATTTCCTTTATTTTCTTTTAACAATAAATGTGTACCGAATTCTTCTTCATGGAAAAATAAGACATCCCCTGAAAATAAGACCTAGCACATCTTTGGGAGCAAAAATTAATATAAGACACTGTCTTATTTTCGGGGAAACAGGGTAGGTGTCCTATAGAGCCCAGTGTATCAGCCTCCCCCGTCACCTGAGGTAGACGCTCTTGGTGCGCCCCTTTGTGGGCTGTTTGGACAGTCTTGTAGTTAAGGCTTCATTGTTGCTGGTATCACTGGGAGGAATTTGCCTCCAGGGCAATTGGCTGTGAGGACCAGTTTGTCTACAATGAAAGAACTTCTATGCTACCCTCATGGGCAGGAGTTGCTTCAGGGGGGCTTTGGTGCTCACTGAGTCTGCCCCCTGAGTGTGTCTCTTATGGATGTGAAGAGTTGTAATCTGGATGGTCCCACTCTAATCACTGTGTATACTGGCTCTTGGATCTTCAAGGAGGTGCAAAGTCAGCCACTGCCTGAGACTACCCAACAGGAGCTACAGAGAAATCTACGGATTCCTCCTCAGCTGTGAAGGGATGCAAGCTACTATCAGCCTTGGGCCTTCTTTTGGAAGCTCTGGGGCTCTCTGATCCAGCTTCAGTTGGTTAGGTTTTAGATTGCAAAAGGCCAGGCCATTCATATGCAAAAGCCTCTGCATACCACTTGGGTGGGGTTGTAAATTAAGTGGGGCGGGGGTCTCTGGGAATCACCAGGGCAAAGCAAATAGCTGCCCGGAAGAGGCCCCCGGATCTCTTGTGTCCCGTGGCACTGTGCTGGAACAATGATCACTGCCAGCATCTCTGAGAGAAAGCCGCCAGACAGTACGGTTTCTCTCCTTATGAGTCTGGGTCTCCAGAGTCTCGCTCAGAACTGGAGTTCAAAGCAGTCAGGAGCTTTTATCTCCCTCCCGATTGAAAAAAATGACAACCACATACCCAGTTGCCAGCCCCTTTTGCACGCGCCTCCATACCTCCACACTTCCACACTTCCATAGCTCCTACTGGACTCAATATGCTTTTCTCTTTCCTTCTGGTTGTAGAATTTCCACTCAGCCAGCCTTCCTGTGGTTCTGGATGAGACTTGTTTTGTCTTTTAGTTGTACTTTTCTTTTTTTAAATATATTTTTACTGCAAAAATATTTCAGAAAGGAAGGAAGAGGGAGAGAGAGATAGAAACATCAGTGATGAGAGGGAATCATTGATTGGCTGCCTCCTACACGTCCCCCACTGAGGGTCAAGCCCGAAACCCAGGCATGTGCCCTTGACCGGAATTGAACCTGGGACCCCACAGTCTGCAGGCTGATGCTCTATCCATTGAGCCAAACCGGCCAGGGCTAGTTGTAGTTTTAATGTGGTTGTGCACGGCAGCAAGTTCAGGTGTTTACCTATGCCACCATCTTGGTTGTTCTATTTTTCTTTAACATTAACTTACCAGACACTGAATAACTACATAAATTAATAAACATAATGCAAATAAAACTGTTTTTTCTTGTTCTCTGGAAGCAAAATATTTCCTATTGCATACACCAAACTAATGACTTGGTGTCCAAGACTAATGAGTTGGCTATCAGCTGCTAAAATATTCACTGCTAGTATTAGTGGAAAGAAATGGTGTGCCTGTGCTTAAGACACATAAGGGAAATGAATGCAACACGATTCTAGTAATTAATCATTAGCAAACATTGTATTTTTTATTAATAATTATATATAATAGAACATTGTAAAAATTAAGTTACAAAATTTTTATTAAAGCATTTTTTACATATAATTATATTGGCTGAGCAGCAAAAATATTTGTTGTGGGCCCCATGCAGCTCACAGACCACAAGTTTGATATGCTTGCTGCAGGATTTCATGTGATAGACATCTATATTTTATAGTTCAATTTAGTTCCAACTCCAAAGACAGTCCCATTCCATTTAGTTATATTTATGTGACCAAATAGATCTCTTTAAAATTAAGTAAATTTAGTGGATGATTTAATGGACCATTTAAAATCATTTATTTATGGTGCTGCTTTTGTTTGTGGTTCTCTTCTCCCCCCCCCCCCCCCCCATTAATCCCAGTAACCTTAGGGTTTATATGCTCTTAATTAGCCAGAAAACAAATCTTGGTCCTCTTATTCCATTTTAGATTAATTTCTAAGTTTAACTCAAACTTTACTTATTGATTTTATTAATACCACTTTCCTGTTTGTTTTGTTGTTGTTGTTGTTAATCCTCACCCGAGGATATTTTTTTCCATTGATTTTTAGAGAGAAGAAGGGGGGAAGTGAGTGGGAAGTGAGAGAGACACATCAATTTACTTAATTATTAGAGCATAGGCCAGCACACCAAAAGGTCATGGATTTGATTCTAAGTCAAGGGCATGTACCTGGGTTGCAGGTCCGATATCTGGCCCCAGTTGGGGCACATGCAGGAAGCAACTAATTAATGTTTCTCTCTTTCCCCCCATTTCACTCTCTCTAAAAATCAATAGTAAGCCCGATCTGCATGGCTCAGTGGTTGAGCCTCGACTTCTGAACAAGGAGGTTACAGTTTGATTCCTGGTCAGGTCACATACCCATGTTGTGGGCTCAGTCCCCAATGTGGGGCATGTAGGAGGCAGCTGATCAGTGGTTTTCTCTCACCATTGATGTTTCTATCTCTCTCTCCCTCTCTTTTCCTCTTTGATATCAATAAAAATATCCTTTCCCTAACCGGTTTGGCTCAGTGGATAGAGCATTGGCCCATGGATTAAAAGGTCCCAGGTTCAATTCCGGTCAAGGACATGTACCTTGGTTGAGGGCACATCCCCAGTGTGCAGGAGGCAGCTGATTGATGTTTCTCTCTCATCTATGTTTCTAACTCTCTATCTCTCTCCCTTTCTCTTTGTAATAAGTCAATAAAATACAAAAACTAAAATAATAAAGTAAATAAAATAAAAATATCTCTTTAGAAAACCACAACTATAAACTGAACTTTTTAGCAGGGGCCAGGAATGTGGGGAAATTGAAAAGAGAATTTTGTTTATTCTGAATACTCATGTATTTTATTTTTTTATAGTTGAGAATATATTGTATTACTAGTATAGAAAAAACCTGTAAAGTCCTATATAATAAAACCCTAACATGCAAATAAACTGAACAGCAGAATGACTGGTCACTATGACATACTCTGCCCACAGAGAGGGAGGCAACCAGCAGTGGCGATCAGAGGATGAGGCAGGCAGGCCAGCGGGCAGCGCCAGGATGCCAGCCAGGGCAGGAGCCAGTGAGGGCCTCCCTGATCAAAGGCAGTGGGGGCGGGGGGGGGGGGAGCGGAGGCATGGCGCTGAAAGCGGGTGGTGCCAGACCCGAAGCCAAGGCAGATGCCAGCAGGGGGGCTCCCCAATCACCCAACCTACTGGTCACCCCACATATTGGCCTTGATCGCCAGCCAGGCCTAAGGACCCTACCCTATATGTGGGGAACAGTCTCTTAGATTTAAAAATTAAAACCTACAAGGCTACTCTAACACTGAAAAAACAGGATGATGCAGTGATGACATGCGTGGACTCTGGCTTGCACATTTTGTGGTCAGCCCTGATTCTGACACTTATAACTATGTAACAAAGCCAATTACTTAACTTCTCTCTGCTTCAGTTTCTCCTCCCATAAGATGGGGAAAATAGTACTACCACCTCAGAAAGATCATGTTATGTACTATTTTTTTGTAATCAGGGCAAAAAAATGTAGCTGCCCATACAACAGCAAGATGCCTTTCACCTTTGTGGAAAGTATGGACATTGGTGCATGCAACGTCCTAGATTTCGAGAGGGATGTCCCACTGCCAGTTTAGGCCCAATCCCCATGGCAATTAGACATCCCCCAAGGGCATAGACTGGGCTGAGGGACACCCCTCACCCTGTGGTACACGAATTTCATGCACAGTCCTATATAATAAAGATGTAATATGCAAATTGTTGTTACACCGTTATTATTACATAATAAATAATGACTAACGGCATAACGACAGGATCATGGATCAGTAGGAGGGTGGGGCAGCGAGCTAGAGGCAGGCATTGGAGAGCTACTGGAGGGGCAGGGCAGCAAGCTATTTAGGGGTGCGGGGGAGCAGGGGGGGCGGGGTTAGGGAGGGGAGCTACAGGAGGGAGGGGCAGCAAGTGGAGAGCTTCTGGAGGGCGGCAGCAAGCTACTAGTGCTCTGATTTGTGCACAGACTCCTAGTCTATATATATAAAAGCCTAAGCGACTTAGAACTCAACAACCAGAATGACCAGTTGACCAGTGCGCTCCCACAGCCAACCTCCCACGGCCAGCAACCTTCCCTGGTCCCTCCCCCCAGCCGGCAAACCTCCTGTACTCCCTCCTCCATCTTTCCCCCTGTTCAGCAAGCCTCACGTGGCAGCCCCCTACCTGCAGCAGGCTCCTAGTCCCCCGCCAGCAGCCTGCAGGCCCTCACTGGCCTGGCTCCAATTGGGACGGGGTGAGCCAGCCACAATAGGCCCTGATTGCTGGCCAGGCTTAGGGACCCCACTCATGCACAAATGATGTGCATCAGGCCTCTAATGTTTAATAAAAGGGAAAGACCACTATACTATTGTAAATAATCTTTTAGTTTTCTAAGCTCTAAATTTCAACGATTACAGGCAGTTGCTGCAATATTTTGATAGAAATCTTGAAGTATTTCTAATTCCTTTCCTAAGTTATTTTTATTTAAATTGTTTTAAAAATGTTTTTTAGGTGTGGAATATCAAACAAATGATTAAGTTGACACAGGAACATATAGAGGCGTTATTGGACAAATTCGGTGGGGAGCATAATCCACCATCAATATATCTGGAGGTAAGCTTTTGAGTATTATATCTGTAGTAACTTTGAATAGAAAAATAATGCATGTATAAAAAGCATTTGTACTGATGATAATACAGGTTATTTTAGGTGGTTGATTGAGAACAATGGGAAAAGAGAATTAGTTTTGTCTTTGCTTCTTAATCTTGTTTCACTTGTTACAATAAATATGTACTGTTTTGTAATTTGGAGAATGTTAGGATTAAGAAAAAGTTGTATTTGAACTCCAAAATTTTATCCTGTTAAAAAAAAGTTCTTTTTACAAAAGAAGATTCTGGAAGTCAGCAAACTAGTTGCCATATTTAAAAGATGGGGAAAATTTTGTAAAATATCTTTTTTCCAGAACAGATCTCCCCCAAATTGGATTTTGCTTTCTAAAATTTATAATGTTTAAATATTAAATAGCTCAAAATTACTTAGCTTTACTGTTTACTAGTGCCTTGAGGCTTTTGTATCAAGCCTTGGGTATCATTGTAAATTTATAGAGTTAGTCATTGTTCTTAATCTAATGAGGTAGTAGTTACTATTCTAATCACAGATAAGCTTTCTTGGCATTAGTTTCCTTAGGGTAAGTCACTCAGATTCCACAGCCAGCAAGCTGTTATGGAATCTAGGCAATCAGGCTCCACAGCCTGTTCTGCTTACCACTATACTATTCTGCCTGTCCCTGTAAAGGCTGGCTCCACAGTAATTACTAGCCATACAGGGATATAACCCTAAATTATAAATGATCAGGTTACCATTTGCCTCTAATTTAGCAATCTAAATACTTTTTAAAGAGCAGGTTAAATCTTCAGTATTTAATGAGAAAGTTTGCATTTCTAAAATAAATTTGGAAGTTTGGAAATAACTGCTAATATACTGTTCTTTTTATATGGCTTATCCCAGAGCACACTGCTAAGGTAATATTAGAGTTAGGAGTAGAATTCATACCCCTGAATGCTATTTGTTTTATTGTATGCCTGAGGAGGATAAGAAATGAACTATAAGTCCTGGGGAAAATAGTAATTCTTTATTAATCAGAATTAGGCAACTTTAACCAGCAGTTTTTTCTGTCCACCCTTTCTCTGTCTTGGGAGATGTATACAGTAGGTCCTTGGGTTATGTCGGAGATCCGTTCCTACGGTGCGACGTAACACGATTTTCACTGTAAGTTGGAACCCATCTACTTAAGCACCTATGTCACTCACATGGAGCACATACAGAGCAGTAATGAAGTGAAACAGTAAAAAAAAAAAATGTAAAAGAAAGATAACAATTCCTGACCTTTTCTTGTGGTAAATAAATAATAAAAAAGATAAAGCATATATGTACATACGTCAAAATAATGGAACTTTTTTTTTTAATAAATACTGTAAATGGGAGATGGCAATGTAACAATGAAACGGCTTCCGTGGTTAAAACTGTGTAACAAAGCCAATTTCTTACCTTCTCTCTGCTTCAGTTTTTCCACTCATAAGATGGGGAAAATGGAACTACTGCCTCAGAAGGATCATGTTATGTTGTTTGTTTTTGTGTTGTTGAGTTGTAAGAGTTCTTTATATATTCTGAATATATGTCCTGAATATTAATCCTAATCAAATAGATAATTTGCTAATATTTTCTTCCATTCTGTGGGATCTCCATTCACTCTGATGATAATGTCCTTTGATACTCAAAAGTTTTTTGTTTTGTTTTTTGTTTGTTTTTTTTAATGAATCTAACATCTGTTTTTCCTCTTGTTGCCTATGCCTTTGGTATCATCCAAGAAAGCATTGCCAAATTCAATGTCATGAAGCTTTTCCCTATGTCTTCAATGAGTTTCTATAGTTTTATTTCTTATGTTTAGGTCTTTGATCCATTTTGAGTTAATTTATATATGTGATATAAGGTCCAGCTTTTGCATTTCATATCCAGTTTTTCCAGTACCACTTACTGAAAAGTCCTTTCTCATTTAATGGAAATTTTAATAAATGCACTTTCAAGACATTTTACCATATATGTGAGAATTTATTTCTGGGCTCTCTACTCTATTGGTCTATATGTCTGTCTTTATGCCATTACTACACTGATTTGATTACTATAGTAAAAGCTAAGTTTTGACATCAGGAAGTATGAGACCTCTAACTTTGTTCTTCCTCAAGATTGTTTTGGCTGTTTCAGATCCCTTGAAATTCTATATGAATTTTAGGATGGATTTTTCTATTTCTGCAAACACTGGGATTTTGATAGGGATTGAATGAATCTATGGATTACTTCAGGTCTTGACATCTTAGGTCTTTTTTTTATATAAGTATGTCTTTATTGATTTCAGAGAGAGGAAGGGAGAGGTATAGGGAGATAGAAACATTGATGAGAGAGAAACATCAATCGGCTGCCTCCTGCACACTCCCCACCGGGGACTGAACCCATAGCCCCAGCATGTGCCCTGACCAGGAATTAACCAGCAATCCCTTGATTCATAGGTCAACACTCAACCCATGAGCCACACCGGCTGGGCAAGAGTCTTTAACTTGTAAATATGAACAGGTATCTAAGAATAAACAGAAATGTGAAGAAAGCTTTTTAACAAATATAACAATAGAAATGGTCAAAATATGTACAGAGAGCAAAAGAAAATTATAATTAACATCAGAGATATGAGAAGACATGCTAATGTGTTCTTGTTTCATGGCTGTACTAAAGAAGCAAAAACAGCCCTGGCCAGTGTGGCTTGGGTTGTTGGTGCATCATCCCATGCACCAAAAGGTCTCGGGTCTGATGGCCTGTCGGGGCATATAACCTAGGTGCAGGTTCACTCCCAGGAACGGGCACATTCAAGAGCCTGTGTCTGTCTGTCTGTCTCTGTCTCTTTGTCTCCCTCCCTCCCTCCCTCCCCCCCCCCTTTTCCTCCCTTCTCTCTAAAATAAAAATGGGGACACACACACACACACACACACACACACACACACACACGAAAACATATCCTTGGGTAAGGATTTTTAAAAAGCAGCAAATGTAATAGAAAATCAATTGACCATAAATGTAAGGCTTTATTTCTGGACTCTTTAATTCTGTTGTGTTGTTCTATGTGTATAACCTTATTCCATTACTACATTGGCTTTGATCTTCAGAGTAAATTTGAAGGTGTTGCTATTTTCTAAGAGAATTAAAAGCGGGGTTGAGGGGGTGGGGATGAAGTTAGGAGCCAGAGAGGCATTGGAAAGGTTGGAATAAGTATTGTGAAGAATTTAATACGATGTTAAAAGTAACATTTTTCAGGCAATAGTACAAAGGACTAAGTTCCGGTAATTGATAATGGGACTAATTGGCCTAGTTTCATTATTTTCTCCATCAACTGAGAGGAAGAATGGAATAATTGAGTGATAGGATTTACCTAAGATTAGTATTTAACAAGCAAGTTAGTAAAACAATGAGAATTAGCCAGAAAATCTAAGGTGTTACCAGTGTCATTGTTGAAATGTCACTATTACTTAAAAGGAGTAAGACAACAAAAACCTAAATCTGACAAACTTGAAGGGATTAATATTGACCATGAACACATTAATGTGGTAGTGAGATGGAAGCTTAAAAAGGTGGGATAACTGTGTGCATAGCAGTATGGAATGTTATAAACTGAGATCTCAACATCATTTGGGACTCTTGTAAAGAACGATATACAATATTATAGTTCTGGATCTTGAAGGTAGTATGGAAATAAATGCCTTTAGAGATTCAAAGTTATAAAGAACTTTAAGGCAAGAGTATTAAGAGTACTAGGTGTACTGGTTAATAATGGTGGATTTTGTAATAAACCCAATAATTTCAAGGGAAACATCAAAAGTGTTTTATTCAAAGTAATGTCCATCACTAGCTACACATATCCCCCATTTTTCAGGTAATTTGTGGATACCATCCCATCCCAATAGAACTTTTCTTTTTTGAGGCAAACCATTCAGAGACCCAATTTTCCACTTCTTCATATATTTTAAAATGCTGCTCAGAAGGTGCATGTGCCATCAATCAGAACAAGTGGTAATCTGAAGGAGCAAGGTCTGGTGAATATAGTGGGTGGGTTAATACTTCCGAAGCAAGGTTTTTTTAACGTGTCTTTACCTGGTTTTGAAGTGTGTGATGGTGCGTCATCATGAAGCCAAATTACTTTGCCGTGTCTTCTGGCACATTCTGGTCTTTTCATGATCACAGCGTGGTTAAAGGCTGAGTAGCTAAGGGCGATCAGGCAGGCAGAGGTGGTTAGGGGGATAAGACAGGCAGGCAGAGGCAGTTAGGTGCGATCATGCAGGCAGGCAGAGGAGGTTAGGGGCGATCACGAAGGCAGGCAGGAGAACAGTTAGAAGCCAGCAGTCCCTTTTTGTGAGAGGGATGTCTGACTCTTGTGGGATCAGGCCAAAACTGGCAGTCGGACATCTCCTGAGGGGTCTTGGATTTCGAAAAGGTGCAAACTGGGCTGAGGGACACCCCTCCTCCATGCACGAATTTTGTGCACTGGGCCTCTAGGCCTATCTAATAAAAGACTAATATGCAAATTAATCATCACTCTGCTACACCCACAAGCCACACCCACCAGCCAATCAGGAGTGAATACGTAAATAAACCCAACTAAGATGGCTACGGCCACAGAGAGCAGGAGGGAGGCTTGGGTTTCCCTGGCAATGGATGAAGCCAAGCTTTCCCCCTGCCCTTGCCAGCCTAGGCCTCCACTCCAGGCTACAAAGTTTCAATTATAAAAGATACATACATCCCAACAGAAATGGCTGCTGCCAGGAGCAAGCAGAAGGCTTGGCTCTGCTCTAGGCTACAAAGTTTCAGTTGTAGAAGATAAATAAACCCCAGATACCAGGGCCTCCACTTGGGTCCCAGGGGGTGTGGCCGACCTGCAAACCACAGGCCCCTCACCCAGCCCACCCCACACCCCAAGGGAACTCCCATCCTGATTTTGGGACACCTTTCAGGGCAAACCAGCTGGCCCCCACCCATGCACCAGGCCTCTATCCTAAATAATAAAGTAATATGCAGATTGGCCATCACTCCAACATATAAGATATCTGCCCCATGTGGTCCAAGATCCTGCCCCCATGTGGACACAAGACAGCCACCATAAGAAGGCCAGCAATGGGGCGGGGGGGGGGGGGGGGGGGGGGAATAGAGGTGACCAAGAAGGCAGAAGATGGAAGTTGGGGCGACCAGACCTGCAGGGAAGCGCAGTTGGGAGGGACCCAAGCATTCAGGGGAGAGGAGTTGGGGAGGGGACCAGGCCTACAGAGGAGGACAGTTAGGGATGACCAGGCCTGCAGGGGAGGGCAGTTAGGGGCAAATAGGCTGGCAGGGGAGTGGTTAGGGGGTGATCAGGGCTGATGGACACCCCACCCCCCCCGCACAAATTCCGTGCACTGGGCCTCTAGTGTATAATAAAATATGCAAATTGACCGAATAGCAGAATGACCAGTTGCTATGATATGCACTGACCACCAGGGGGTCAGATGTTCAATGTAGGAGCTGCGCTCTGGTGGTCATTGCACCACTCAGACAGAATCCAGGCTCACGGCTGATGAGCGCAATGTCTGTGGCAGGAACTTCTGCTTCCACTGCAGTGCTAAGGATGTCCAACCGATGGCTTAGGCCCACTCCCCTCGGGAAGCAGTCCTAACCCATCAGACATCCCCCAGGGCTCCCATACTGGGACAGGATGCAGGCCAGACTGAGGGACACCCTCCCCCCTCGTGCACCAGGCCTCTCATGTATATATTTACACACACACACACACACACACACACACACACACACGGATATGCTCTATAATCTGGTCCCTTACCACATTTTCAGTCTTATGTTTGTTTTCCTATTCTTCAGTTAAATGAAACAAATATATATTTATCCCTTACTGTGTTCCAGATATGACATTCAACTATACTACTTTATAGTTTTTCCTCTATGTCTTAAAATTTTCTGCCTCCCTACTTTGTTACACAATTTATGCTGTACTCAGTACTCTTTTCCCCACTTACTCCATCCATTTGAATATTAGCCTTTTAAGATACCCTTCCTTCCTCATTCTTGTATCAAGAATGTTCTTTGTTTATTTCTCATATATAATACTAACACAAAAATATATTCTCAGCAGCCCAAAAATGAACTCCTTTAGAGCTGTGAATTGTCATTTCTAAACCTTTATTCTCCCTATAGCATTTAATAAATGGTTGTAGTACTTAATCTTTAAGGGAAAAATGGTGAACTATATAGTATAGGGTGATTACAACTCCCTTAAAGAACTGCCTTAATGAACCATGGACATGTATATGTCAATTCATTCCATTTCTTTACTTTCAATATCATTCTGTTTTCAAGATTCTTCTTACTTTTAGAATATTATTTATGTGGTAATTTGGTCTGATAGCCTTAGTCAAAATTGACAGTGGTACCAGAATTTCTTGACTGCAGTGTGTAAGCCACCTTTTCAAATAAAATTTTATTCTCTAAACAGTATTTGATGAGGAAGGAGGTCATCAGAGATCCATAGTGAGAAGAATAAAGAATTTTAATTGACAGCTATTTCAGAAGGAAGACAGCAATTATACATCTTCTAAGCTTTTGGTGGTAGTGGTGAGATCTGGCACTGTGTACCTGAGTCTTATTTTTCTGACAAATCTAAAACCTCATCTCCTTTTCAACTTGTCTGTCTGTTCTTAGGAGCAGGGGAGAGGAGTCTGAAACTTTATGTGCCAACAGCTTTTTTTTTTAGGGGGGGGAAACAATTTTAATGAAAAGGGTACTTATCCTTGATGTATAGTATTTTATACTATCTTCTTTTATTAATACTCATAGGTATCATAGACATCTCTTATATAATATGTATCAGTTTCTCATTGTAATATAATATAGTATCTTATAACAAAAGATTTATCTATTTAAAGGTAAAAGTTGTCATTTACAGTACTTCCAGTGCTTATTTTGAAACTCATAACTTAAAACCCTGTTAGCTAAATTATAAAGAGATTATCATCAAGGACTTAAATTTTATGTGGGTTTTTTTTATTGTTTTTGTCGTCGTCGTTGTTACTGTCAGGAAGAGTTCCAGATTCACTGTAAATCTACTTTATTTTGTAGGCCTATGAAGAATACACCAGCAAACTAGATGCCCTCCAACAAAGAGAACAACAATTATTGGAATCCCTGGGGAATGGAACTGATCTTTCTGTTTCTAGCTCTGCATCAACGGACACCGTTACATCTTCTTCCTCTTCTAGCCTTTCAGTGCTACCTTCATCTCTTTCAGTTTTTCAAAATCCCACAGATGTGTCACGGAGCAACCCTAAGTCACCACAAAAACCTATTGTTAGAGTCTTCCTACCCAACAAACAGAGGACAGTGGTGAGTCAACTTTTAATATCATCATTCCTTTTCTTTGTATTTTTCAGAAAGACCACTTGTTGAAAATGAAATATATCATCACTTTATACTCAGTGGTCTTACAAATTGAAGCATTTTGAACAAGGAAGAAAGAGACAATTATTTGGTGCCAAAGTGTGTTCCTTAACTATAACAAATAGTATTGTTTTTAGTGTCAGATTTGACATTTATCCTACCTACTAAACTTGAACCGTGCTCAAGTTTAAGTACTAATTCAGAATCAATCAGAATTTTAAGACTAGTGCTTACTTGTTGTCTAACATCTAACAGGTAAGATTTATTCTTCACCCTTGAGAATTCTCTATTTGGATTTATTTTTCCTCTTGTTTATATAAGTTTTGATTGTTGATCATTAGTATCATCTTAGAATAGAGTACTCTGTAAGTTATATTTAGAACAGAGAAATCTGAAGAATTATTTTGGATGGTCTGTAATCCTCAAATGCAATAAGTACTGTCAGTAGGTTTAGTAAATAATGCACCCTTATACATCATTACTTTTTATAGAGCATATAGCTTTTGATATTAACAAAAAGCATGCCGAGACCGGTTTGGCTCAGTGGATAGAGCATCGGCCTGTGGACTGAAGGGTCCCGGGTTCGATTTCAGTCAAGGGCATGTACCTTGGTTGTGGGCACATCCCCAGTAGGGGGTGTGCAAGAGGCAGCTGATAGATGATTCTCTCTCATCGATGTTTCTAACTCTCTATCCCTCTCTCTTCCTCTCTGTAAAAAATTAATAAAATATATATTTTTTAAAAACATTTCATTTCCAATAAAGTCAAAGTAATATTTTTTAAAAAATATATTTTATTGATTTTTTACAGAAAGGAAGGGAGAGGGATAGAGAGTTAGAAATATCGATCTGCTGCCTCCTGCACACCTCCTACTAGAGATGTGTTCACAACCCAGGTACATGTCCTTGACCGGAATCGAACCTGGGACCTTTCAGTCCGCAGGCTGTTGTCTGTCCACTGAGCCAAACCATTTTTGGCTCAAAGTAGTTTTTAATTATTTTTCTCAGGCAGCATTGGTGGTAATGCTTGTTCTTCATGAAAGAAATTTGCTTACCTGTGCTATAGTGATCTCCAGTGGGGTCAGTTTTTCACCATGTGCAACAGAGATTTGAGGATTAATGTGTGGGAACATAAGACTGGGCCTTGTGACATAGACATAGTTGGGATTTAGATCTTTACATAAAGAGTGAACTGAAAGGAAATTTATTCATCAGCATAAAGAAATAACAGTGAAACCTATCTCTTTGCCAGGGTTCCAGATAAGAGTACCCTGTGTACTCTTAGACCTAGTCCCATAGAAGTGTGGGTTTCCCTGTACCCAAGAAATTAATGTAACAACTGGTACTAGAGGGGTATAGCATTCAAGGACAGGGCAAAAGTAAATGAAAATCCTCCCTGGCCCATTCAGGTCCCTGAATTCACAGAGAGAATGCCGTCGTGACAAGCTCAAAATCCTAATTTATAAAATATACAAGGAAACTGTCTATTATTCTTAAGTTAGGAGATTTAGAAACAGCTAAATTAGACTACTAAGAGGAACAAAACTGAACTTCCAGGTGGTCTTCAAATTTTAAAAAGAAGGAAATCGTACCTTTTGCAACAGCATGGATGGACCTGAAGAATATTGTGTTAAGAGGAATAAACCATTCAAAGAAAGACAAATGACATGCAATTTCACTTATATGTGGAATCTAATGAAAAAAATAAACTAACAAATAAAATAGGAACAGACCCGTAAATACAGAAAACAAACTGATAGAGTTGGGGGGCTGGGTAGAAAAAAAAAAATCCTCATAGACACAGACAATAGTATGGTGATTGCCAAAAAAAAAAAAGGGGTTGTGGGGGAAGTAGAAGGTGGTAAAGGAATAAATTAGTGATAGATGAAGATTTGACTTGAGATGGTGAACACAGAATACAATATATAGATAATATATTATAGAATTGTACACATGAAACGTATATAATCTTATTAACCAACTAGAGTCCTGGTGCACAAATTTGTGCACCAGTGGGGTCCCTCGGCCTGGCCTGTGGACTGGACCAAAACCAGCTTTCCAATATCTCCTGAGGGATCATAGATTGCAAGAAGGCGAAGGCCAAGCCTAGGGACCCCACTGGTGCACGATCGGGGCTTGAGAGAGATGTGGGAGGTTGGCTAGTTGGGAAGGGACTACAGGAGGGATCCAGGGCATATCCAGCCTGTCTCGCTCAGTCCCAATCAGCTAGACCCCAGCACCAAGCAAACCTACCCACTGACTGGCCCCTGGTGGTCAGTGCACATCATAGCAAGCGGTTTAGCAGCCTTAACATATCATTAACACATTACTCTTCTTCTTTTTTTAATATATTTTATTGATTTTTTACAGAGAGGAAGGGAGAGAGAGAGAGAGCTAGAAATGTCGATGAGAGAGAAACATCGACCAGCTGCCTCTTGCATACCCCTTTCCTGCGGATGTGCCCGCAACCAAGGTACATGCCTTTGACCGGAATCAAACCTGGGACCTTTCAGTCCACAGACCGACGCTCTACCACTGAGCCAAACGGGTTTCGGCTAGCATATTACTCTTTGATTGGTTGAATGGATGACCAGAAACTTAGCATATTAGGCTTTTATTATATAGGATGTCAACCCAATAAATTCAACTAAGAAAGAAAAAAAGATAAGTAGATGACAGTTATCATCTATGAAGTATCCTTACTAAGAATGATTGCAAGTTAAATGTCAGGTTTCTGCACCTTCCATTTTACAAGAAACACAGGGAGAGAAGCACTATGAGGAAACAAGAAAAATGTGAACATCTTCTAAGATAAACTCCCTCAATGTCATGGAGATTAAATGGTTGGGGATTTCCTGGCTGGTGTGCCTCAGTTTGGAGCATCATCCCGTGCCCAGAAGGTTGCAGGTTCGATTCCCTGTCATACCACATATCTAGGTTGCTTGTTCAATCCCTAGTCAGGACCATGTATGGGAGGCAACTAATCAATTTATCTCTCTTATATAGATGTCTGTCTTTATATATATAAATCTCTCTCTCTTTCCCCCCCCTTCCTTCTCTCTTCTTCTCTCTCTAACTCTCCACCTTCTTCCTTCTTTGGAATCAATAAAATAAAAAAATAAAAAAGTTGTGGATTATCCTACGCTAAATAAAACTAAAGAGACATAACTAAACACAGTGTGTGATCCTGGTTATGGAGTAGGATGGGGAGAGCTGTAAAAGACATTCTTGAGCCGAAACCCGTTTGGCTCAGTGGTAGTGCATCGGTCTGCGGACTGAAAGGTCCCAGGTTCGATTCTGGTCAAGGGCATGTACATTGGTTGCAGGCACATCCCCGGTAGGGTGTGCAAGAGGCAGCTGGTCGATGTTTATCTCTCATGGACGTTTCTAGCTCTCTATCTCTCTCCCTTCCTCCTCTCTGTAAAATATCAATAAAATATATATTTTTTTAAAGACATTCTTGAGACTTGGGAAATTTTTAATGTTGACTGAACATTAGATGTTATGCAATTATTAATTTTTAAAGTGATAATATACAGGAGATGTTTTTATTCTTGGGAAATACATGTGTAAATATTTAAGAGTACATTATAATCATGCCTACAACTTTCTTCCCCTCTTTTTTGAAATATGACTTCAGTATAAAAATATCAAGTGTGTACAATTCAATGACTTTCTACAAATGTAACTGCCATGCAAATTAAGATACAGAACATGCCAGCCCAGTGTAGCTCATGGTTGGTCATAGACCTGTGAATGAGGAGGTCATGGTTCAATTCCCAATCTGGGAACATGCCGAGGTTGTGGGCTCAATCCCCAATATTGGATGGGCAGGAGACAACTGATCATTGATTCTCTCTCATCATTGACTTTTTCTTTCTTCCTCTCCCTTCTTTTCTAAACTTAATAAAAATGTTTGTTTGTTTTTAATATACAGAACATTTCTAGTGTTTGAGAGAATTCTCCTGCTTCTCCTTTCCCTCCCCTCACCCCCTGCAACTTCAATTCAGGACCCACCCTCAAGAGTAACAACTATTCTGACTTCTCAATCAATTTGGAACTTATTGTCAAATAATATGATGGCCGTAGCCAGTTTGGCTTGGTGGATGGAAAATCGGCCTGCAGACTGAAGGGTCCCAGGTTCCATTCCAGTCAAAGGCATGTGTCTTGGTTGCAGGCACATCCCCAGTGGAGGGTGTGCAAGAGGCAGCTGATCAATGTTTCTCTCTCATAGATGTTTCTAACTCTCTATCTCTCTCCCTTCCTCTATGTGGAAAATCAATAAAATATATTTTAAAAAAATAATGGAAAACAAAATGTGGGGAGAGAAAAAAAAATGATTTTTAATCTAAGTAGAAAGAATTTCTCCTAATAGAGTTAGAAAAATTCAAACAACATGGAATAAAAGAAAATTGGAAAGTTGAAAAGAAACAGTTGTCTCTAGGGAAAAAAGCTATTGAATATATTGATGCTGATTTGAGGAAGTAGCAATCTAATATCTATATATATAAAAGCCTTTAAAAGTGACCATCACAACCGAACAGATGACCAAACAAGCTATGTGGGACAACCAGGCCGGCATGGGGGTTAGTGAGGGACGGCCAAAAAACCGCGCAGCAGGCTGCATGGGGCAACCAGGCTGGCAGGGGCGACAGTTGGGGGTGACTAGGCTGGCAGGGAGACATTTAGGGGCAACCAGGCCAATGGGTGGGGGCAGTTGGGGACAACCAGGCTGGCGGGGGAGGTGGGGGAGCAACTAAGCCAGAAACGGGGGGGGGGGGCAGTTGGGGGTGACCAGGCCAGCAGAGGGGTGCAGTAAGGTGTGACCAGGCTGGCAAAGGGACATTTAGGGGCAACCAGGCCAGTGGGTGGGGGCAGTTGGGGGCAACTAGGCTGGTGGGGGGAGAGGGGTTGGGGGCAACTAAGCCAGCAGGAGGGGGCAGTTGG